AACTATTTGTTCCTAATCTAAATGCTCTACACTATAACTATTTGTTCCTAATCTAAATGCTCTACACTATAACTATTTGTTCCTAATCTAAATGCTCTACACTATAACTATTTGTTCCTAAATAGCCAATTGACCATGCCGAGCCCATTGGCTTTGTTAAGACAGGTGTGAAATCCTATATTGTTTAATTGTATTACTGCTATTGCAAGTACGGATATAATTTGTTTTGATTATTGACCATGTCGAGCCCATTGGCTTTGTTAAGACAGGTGTGAAATCCTATATTGTTTAATTGTATTACTACTATTGCAAGTACGGATATAATTTGTTTTGATTATTATATATGTTACACGGTATTTAAGAGCAAATAAAAATGAAAACTTTGTATAAATTCCTGTTTTAAAACATTACATTAGAAGATAATATCAAATAATCATCATATTTGTCTAAGAAAATACTGTTATTTATCAGCTGGTTAATGATTTAATAAATAAAAGAAAGACTTCATTATACTCGAAGTTACCCAATGATCAACAAATATTTAATGAGATTTACCTGTTGAATGAATTTTCAATCCTGCATATAGTGTATTATTGAAATGAGAAACAATAAGATGAAACTATTTAGTTTTAGTGTAGAGCATTTAGAGGGCGCTTGACTCGCAGTCTGAGAGTCGCAGCTATGAATCTCCGCCCCACCAAATATGCTCGCCCTTTCGGCCGTGGGGGCGTTATAATGTGACGGTCAATCCCATTATTCGTTGGTAAAATAGTAGCCCATGAGTTGGCGGTGGGGGGGGGGTGATGACTAGCTGCCTTCCTGCTAGTCTTTCACTGCTAAATTAGGGACGGTTAGCGAAGATAACCCTCGTGTAACTTTGTGCGAAATTCAAAACAAACCAAACATAGCCAATGAAATCTGTATATCATATTCATATATAAGAAATAGTTTTCAGCCATCCAATCTTTGAAGTTTAAAACTCTTTAATGTGATTTTTTACTCTGTTATTAAAATGTAACTTTATTTGACAAAGTATTTGCGCTTTTACGATTTCCACCTCATCTTTAATCTGTGAGGGAGAAGTTGTGGATGGAAAATTATAATATAATAATTATTCTGTTAAGATTTTTCAAAAATCACCTTGACGTACAAGATTTAGATAGTATTTTAATTATTTTCTTCAATTGTTAAAGGTTTCGTGATACCTAACCGTGACACAATGGAGTCATTACAGAAATGGTTGGTTGATTACCTCAGTCAGCGAGAGTAATAAATCTGCTCGTTAATAATAATACAATAGAACTGTTAAAATAAATTGAAAGTTAAAAAACTGTTAAC